CAATGTAGTGTCCAGATCTGCGGTGATTATCGTGCTTCCTGAACCTGCCTGTCCTCGCCAGGCGAAATGATTGACCTCATGAATGCCAGTGTTGGGGGGGGTTTGTTTCAAATCCTAGTACTCACTCCCGAAAACCCAATCCCGATGGTAACCCCCGGGGGGGTTGGTCCATGGGGGGGGGGGGTGGAGGGAGAAAAATGACCAACGCATGCGAGCCCATCCAACGTCGAGCAGGCGGTCCCAAACGAAAAACGGGAGAGCCAAGGAGGAATATGTCAACCCAGTTGGGGAAGGTTCGGAGCTGAAAAGTACCGAGATGGTGTACCAGCGGCACACCCAAGGCGAAAGAGAAGGCGGGGACATTGTCGTGTGATCACTCTGTGTGTATGACCTTCGAGCCGCTGCAGGTCTCGGTTGCATGTGATGCGCGTTCATCCACCGCCGGGGATAAAAACATCGAGTTTCTTGTCGGGGGTCCAACGATCACAGTGGCGAGAGGCCTGGAGCCTCTCTCTCTCTCTCTCTCTCTCTCTCTCTCTCTCTCTCTCTCTCTCTCTCTCTCGCCCTGGCTCACCGTAAATCTCCGATCGATTCCACACCGATATTGACGAGGGCCCTCTCAAAGGTTCCGAGGTTGAGATTCGACAGCCATATCGACAGGCTCTCCGGTGACGGGGACACATGTTCGAAAGGCCCGTCCTGCTCCCAAGTAACATCAACAATATCATGAAGGAGAGAGGATTTGGAACGAAAGCAAAGCGCTACGAGCGTAGCCCTTTTCATGGTGGATGAGAGACTCGTGAGGATAAGGTATTGTCAAGAGGGCTGTCTGAAGGACAGGCGGCCCGGCCCTCCTCAGTTAGGGTTGACTTCGTATTGAAACGAGTGTCCGCCCCCGAAACCGACCCACCTCACACACGACACATACACGAGTAAGCTTCTCGCGCAAGGCTACACCACCAAGGGAGTGTGGTACAAACAAGCATACCGCCGCCAACAGGAAGAGCGGATGAACGGGCCAGGCAAGGCCTCTCCTTGTACCTTGCCTAGTTATGTTGCACGCACCTTGCCCAGCGGTGCCGCTTCTGTTCCTGTGGTGGTATGCCACATAGAAGCGGCGGCCGCCTCTCCTCCTGCTCCTCCTCCTTCTCCGCCTCCTCTGCCACCGATATCCCCAATGCCTCCAACACCACGAATACCACCATGGTTTCTAGCACCCGCCGGCGTTCCCGCTACATCCCCCACCCCGTTCAGCGAGGCAGACGAAGGGAATTGGCTGCTCCACTCGGTGCCCCCCGCCGAGGCAGCGGGCGAGAACCGCGAAGGGAAGCTCAAGGGCCGGGGGCGCTCCTCCGGGGGTGGGGTCGGCGGTCGAGGCCTACGCTGGTGCTGCTGGTAGGGATCGTGTTGGTAGAGGCGATCCTCATCGGAAACAGCGACTGGCCACTGCCGCGAGGCCTCCGGCCCAGCAGACCCGACCCCCTCGGAGGACGGCAGGTTGTTGCGGTGGGTGCTCGTATTCCCGCTGCTACTGTCGCGATCAGCGGCTGCCGTTTGCGACCAAGAGCGGCTGCTGCTGGGCCTAACCAGTAGGTATGGCCCCCTGAACTGTGGAACGGTGTCTCGGACTACACGGCTGAGCACGTGCAGGCATAGCCCCACGCGCCGGGGGTCCCTGGAGGTGGGGAGGGCGGGCGGGGAGTTGCGAGCGGGAATGGGTTGGAAGCGAGGATAGATGAAAGTACTGGCGGTGCTACACAATGTCATGAGAGTCGATGGTATCTTCTCTGTCGCCTGTGAGTGCGGGCATTCAGAAGCGCATGGCTGTGCTATCCAATTGAGTGATTCTAACCAATTAAGTGCTTCTAACCAATATAGTGCTTATGGGGCACGTTGTAGATTTTTTTTCGCAGGTTTGTCTATCATGTAGGGGCACTCACGGGTCGTTCACGTCAAACAGAGCTCCGGCGGGCACGCCAAACGTCCGACACGCGATCAGGAAGCTGCACATGTTGCTATCCTGGACAACGGAACAACGGTTCGTCCGGGTGAGTGGGGAGGGGGGGGATTAGGAAGAGGGCAAGAAAAGCACGTGAACTTGGGTGTCCCACCCTACTCATGCCAATGGCCCAGGTTCGCTACCCTTGGACATGCCTACGGTGCGGTCGGAGGCAGCCGCGGGAAACGATAGTGTGCAGTGGACCATGCCCTCAACGAAATACGCAACTATTATATGTTCTTCTCGTCTCTCTATCATCCACATTTTCCTGGCTGTTCGGATGGCGGAAGATTGATACTTCTCCGACACTGGCAAAGCTTGCGCTTTCTCTCTCTCGCTACTCACGTTGTTAGACCTGTCCTCGTGGATCCTCTTCACGCTGCCGGGGGCTATGGAATTTGCGACTCGACAGAGCACGCGACCATCGGTAAGACCCCCGTTTGACAAGAAAACGTCGTCGTCGCTCATGTCCTCGAAGTTTTCGTGAAGGATCTGCTCGATCCATGTCTGGCGAAACGGAAAAGGAGGAGGAAGGTGGGCGCACGGCCCAAAGTATGAGCTCATGATAAAAAAATTGGGTGGACACGAGAGCTATCAACCCCAGGGTGAACGGAGCAACGAGGAAGGTATACGGCCTACAATAGCGTTGACCGTCACACGACGTATCACCCAAAATCTCGAAACAAAAGTCGGCGACCACAGGAAAGAACGATCCATGCACGATGAGAGGATGGGAGTATTGGCGCAATCGGGCGGCAAAACTGCTTGCTGTCTTCGACCGAGAATAGGTCTGCGATAGCAAGTCTGGTGGATGAGAGGTGACCAAGTTTTCTTCATTTCTTTCGCGACTTTCCGTACAAGATAGATGGAAAAAACTAGGCAGACACGTTTGGATGCATCATGGGAGGACTGCAATGTTTTCCAGGATGGTTAGGCTACTCACTTCACCAAAGCGCTTACAGTTGGGCGCGAGGAGAAAAACAATTCTGAAGGCGAAAAAATATACGCATGGTGGAGGCAACGTTCAAAGACGAGCGATAGGCGCGTAGCAACACAACGTCACATAGACAGAGCAGCCATCCGTTCTACGGTGCCGGCCTCTCGGGCTCGCAGGTACTCTACCGCGGTCGCCCGAAATATGACACCCCCTGGATCTCTAGTGACAACTTCGAAGTAAATTATACGGGGTGAGACCGGACGAGTGACGTCTACACTCTAAGATCGATATCCCACTGTACAACGATTGAGATCATTGGCGAGAAAAATATTCTAATGTCCAACCTGCGCGGCGTTTATGGTCTCTTCGTCGCCCTCCGGGAGGTCTATGTTTCCCTGCCATGGCAGCGGGAATTCCGGATCGGGGGAAAATGGTGACTGCCGCTGCTGTTCAAAGACCGCCTCAGAACTCGTATTGCTGCCGCTGGCACTTCGGCAGAGCGTCGCGTTTGTTTCTTCGGCGTTCGACCCCGACCAAGGTTGCCATTGCTGCTGCTGCTGCTGCTGCCGCGCGGGGTGTGGATGATGTTGTCGCCCTAGTTCACCACCTGCATCAAAGCAGCCGACATTATAAGGTGGAGGGCATGAGTGATCATCCCACTACTCGCTAGGCTCGTGTTTCCTCGCTAGCCCCCGCACCTTACAATGTTCATGGTGAAGTCAATGCAGAAGTTAACCGTGCCTCCAGTCTGTGGTTATCTACAGAACTAATACAAGAACAGGTGCGTTAAAATAGAGCAGCATTGCTTGCACGAAGGTACTTGAAAAATACGACCCTCTTATACAGGTCGTCCCGGTGGTCTAGTTGGTATCCTCGAAATCTTCTAGAGGTCAGGTCAGGGGTTCGAATCCCGGCGTAAGCGAGCTTTCTTGCAGAAGTGAGTTTTTCTCTCGCTTCCTCTCCTGGCCCAGTGGATAGCGCTAGTTCGTGTGTACACAGAGGGAAGAGAGTGCTGAACTCTTCTCGCATTAAAAACCGAAGGCAACGTACCGCAGGAGGGGAGGGTAGAGAGGGACCCTTCTGTGTGACCACGGGTTGGAGTAAACGTCACTGGTGCTGTGAGCGCTGATTTGAAGTGAAGACAAAAAAATATATACAGACTATAGTCGCCTATGTTTGTGGGGTCGCCACTTGAGCCAAACCATAGGTTATACAGAAAAGCGAAAGAAACATGTCTGGTCGTATACCGCCTGAGTGGTGCAGACCGGTGCGAATGGTACACTGTGTTCGTAGACCTACTGTAGATCTTCTTTTCCAAAGGAATATTATACACATTGATTGTACATCAATCATCAATAGAGATGACCCTTTGATCGATAACGGATCATACGTACGTGCACGTAAACTTTCAATACGGTAGTTGGATACTCTTGTACACTTACGGAGCCGAGGCATCTCTGAAACAAACCCCTGTCGTATTTCTGTGACTCTTTCTGCAGCAATCGAGACTTGCAAATAAATGTACTGATAGTCTAGATGTGTTTGTGCATGATTCACATCCTTTCTGGGTCTTATCGGGAGCTGCTGTATATCATGCAGAGACAGGAGTGTATGGTATGTATATTTCGTGTGTACCTGAAGTGCTTCCTGAAACATGATCACGCCCGCTGACATTCGTTTGCTGCTCTTGGCGGGTATCTGCGTCTATCTGCAAGGAGCGCGGGCGCGTAAGATCGTTGTACCTGAGCGGTACACAAACACGCGCACGAGGACGGAGAAATTTCTGTTCAGTATGAAAAATTCGTCGCGGGCATCTCGCTACCGGCCCGAGTTCCAGTGTCTTGTAGGAAGTTCGTGAGATGTATACACTGTAACTAGCGCGCCTACAACCGACCTTGTAAAAAAAACAACCGTTTACCCAACTCGGTGTGCCATGAGTTCTTGAACATTCTTGATACATTGTAAGTTTACGCAGACAGGAGGAGCAGAAAGATTCATCAAACCTTGGGTTGGGTGCCGGGTGCCGAGGGCGTGGGGTGGTAGGCACACCCGATGGCACACAGCGTGCGCCAAGATCCATGCGCGCCTATTGTATCACTCCGGGAAAGCCACTTCGTCGCCTTCTGAGTGGGTGGTGGTGGACCTGGAACTGCAATCGCGCGCCGGCGTGTCCGTTGCGCGTTGCATGTGCAGTGCTGGAACTCGCAAAGTAGGGGCTAGTCTGCTGTCCTGTTGTTCCGCCGCACAATATTCCGCCGCATCCCGATCTCGCCGCATCGCATGCATCGCATGTCTCTCATCTCTTATTTCTCATCTCTCACACACCTCTCACGCAGTGTAGGCCTATCGCGCTATTCGCTGAATGACGTATGGTTTTTGTCAATTTCTGAAAAGGATGGAACGTAGACAACTCACCAGTTTCCGCGATCCACAAGGTCACAAGGAGTGCCTTTGAAACGTAACGGTCATATTTTCTTTTTATTTTCTCGTGGTGTTACGGTGCTGTCTATCTGAGAATAGGACTTAAGGAATAATAAAAACACACACAGAAAGACTTCATAAAGCACCCCACCAGCCGACGTTTGGGCACTACCAGCAAAAATTAAACCCTTTACGCATCTATCGATCCTATAGACCCGAGGGAATAAGCGCATCTAATTCATCGTGCTGGCTGCACTGGCTGAGTGTCATGAGTCTCACGTCAAACTACCTCGATCACCTCGATGGCCGTCTGGAAAAACAAGGAGGGCGAGGTAGCGTGGCACGACTGCTGCTGGTTGCGAGAAAGGGAGAGGCAGCCGACGAACCAGACGCCGTAGTGCAGTATCATGAGCAGGCGAGAGAAACGAACACAAGTGTCGCAGCCTTGCCGACTCATTTGACCCCATGGTGGAGACAACTGCGCCAAGTGTGTGTGTGGTATGCACGTGCATAATGACTGTATGTAGTCTACTGCGCAAGCTCGGATCCATCCTTAGGATTGTCGCAACTATCGGCGGACACGTCCTCTGTTTCACTTGCGGTGTACCAGTGTTTTTTAGGGACTGGTGCTACAAGAACAACACAGATGGTTTCGTTGCCGCGGATATCATCCTCGTTGCGCGTCATCGCACTTCGATCAAACTCATAGTCCATCTGGACAACTCGCAGACTAAGTACTACAGCAGTGATTAAAATGGTAGAATGCTGTCAGTTCCAAAACACAACTCAGCGGTCGATCCTTCACCATATCAGACAAGATCGTAGCCAACAGTCGCGACGGTGACGATGAGGAACCTGACTCTCACCCCTAGTTTGACTTTTCTTTATCACAGGCACCAAAAGGGCTGTTGCTGTCGCTGGACGGCCATCAGACTTAGGCACGGCAAACAAAATGCCATGCCGTGGTGCCCAACCTGCAGTCAGTCGCTCTGAATAACCTCGTGCGCCGTGCGCCATGTGCAGGTGCCGTGCGCTCCGTAGTGCTACCTCTCTCTCTCCTCTACGATGTGCAATCAGTGCCGAGGGCTTCGAATTCTAAAAAATTGTTCAATAAATGTATTGTCTACACCAATCACGCTTGTGCCTATAGAAGACGAAATCAAACAATTAGACTAGTCAGCGCTGACTAGTCTAATGGTTGCATTTCGGCTTCTATGTAAGCTAGTCGTGGGGTTCGTGAGCCCCGTCACTTTCACTTCCGAGGAGGGTGACTCCCTTTGCCAGCGCTACTACCTACTGTATCCGTCCAATCTTCATTTCGCTTCATATCACGCGCCACCCACATCCTGCTGAATGTTCCAGGGTCTACGAGTCCTTCCGGCACCCATACTCTGGCCGAGAGTATCGAGGGTCTCAGGGGAAAAAACACTTCGAAGTGCCCAGCCTGGGTCTCGAACCCACGACTAACTCATGCTGACTAGTCTAATGGTTTGATTTCGGCTTTTTATGCCTATGAAACATGGAAACTAACCAGGTGTTTGAGGAGATCTTGTCGGAACAGCACGCGGCAACCATCACAGGCGTATTGATAGTGCAGAAGGAAAGCATTATTCACCTGGTGGAGACGTCCATGGATACATCAACCGCGTTGTTGAGGCAGATCCAGAGCATGGAGGCCGACCTGGATCCATCAGCACGGGTCATGGAGAATGCAAGTTGCAGAAGGAGACGAGTGACGATGATGTTGTTATTCCCCCGAATTAGGATTTCTGGTATTCACGGCAGTGCATTTCTTGTGGGAGAGGAGAAAGCGACGTGCTGAGCCTCTGCCGGGGCAATGTAGCATGCACCTACCCAGAGGATACCGAGAGCCTCGCCATAGAGTTAGAGACTAACAACGGGTGGACAGCTGCTCGTGCTGCACGCCCAAGCAAAAACCCAGTATTCTGAACCATGGTTATGCATGGTGTTCCATGGAAACGACAAGTATTCGTTTGTATGTGTCATCTGCCGAGTTGTAAGCCTACCCGAAGAGCCGGGCGAGCAGTACACGTTTCTGTAATCTGTTCTTGGTACGAGCCTGGTCTGTGCTTCGTTTTCGTACGTAAATCGCACACCCATCTCGTAAGCAGAAATTGTCGTCGGTCTGCCCATCAAGCCGAGCGTGGTGATGAAAGCGCTGCCAATCAGCACCAGGCGACGTCGAGTTTCCAAGGCGAAGGGTGTGTACGCCTGTTCTTTCGTCTGTCTCCTGTTCCGTTGGTCGCTACATTTCCTACGGAAATGCTTCCCTCCGTGATGCTCAGCTCGTGACCGTCAACGTACCGCTTGCTCGAGTCACTGTCTGCCGTTATTGGTCGGTGTCCGTCGTTGGTCACCCATCATTTTCATTTGGAAACACATGTCGCATCGAGTAACCGTCACAACCACCAATAATGCTATCGCTAACACAGGTGAAGATCTTGGTGTCGAGCGAAGACTGCCCCGCCCCGTACTTCGCCAAGTGGTTCCACTACAACATCCAGCTCAACGCGGAGAGCAACGTGGACATCGACAAAGAAGACCCAGTAGAAGCCTCCTGGGGAGTGTACGAGTGAGTAGACCACGTAGCCGCAGTTGGGTTTTGGTTAGGTAGTGCTAATTGGAGCGATTGGCTGTGAGCACCGCCCACCCTTGTGGAGTTCTCCTTTAACTTCGAGGCGTGAACATTGGAATCTGTGCATCCAAGGCCTCTATTTTATCTAAAATCTAACTACGGTTGTACCTAGCCAACTAGTATATCGTGTGCAACCAGCATGCGAAGACCCTTGTCGGCCAACCTCTTCGTGAACCTTCACCAGAAATTCCCATGAGTTTTTTGCCACCGAAAATCAATCGTAAGAGCCGATCGGTGTCTGAATAGCTCAATGATATGATTCGTTGTTGCTGTCACTTGTTGATGCCGTCGATTATGTCTCGGTGTTGATGCTGGTGATGACGATGATGCTGTTGTTGTCGTTCCCGACATCAAAAAAGACTCACGTTGCAAAACTTTGTTGCCGTAAACCAACAGTAAACTTGTGGAGCTCGCGTCGGAGATGAGACAGCACTCGGGAACTTCCGTATCAGAGCTGAAGCGAAAGTACAACCACCTCGTGCCCTCCAACGAACGAGTGCTGGGGTTGGCGGAAACGGAGAAAAACATGAGTTTGTCCGAGGTGAGATCGGGAACGGGAGAAATCACCTCTTCAGTTCCCAGCCAGCCCAAACACGAACGGCACAACAAAGTCCGACCCTCCAACCCTTGCGTTCGATTTGCCCACCCGACCCTTGCGCTTGGCTGACCACCTGCACACCCGCCCATCCACCGGCAGGCACGCCTGGCGGTTACACCAGTGTACGTACACAAGTCTCCTCCTGCTTGACTTCTCCCCTCCTCCCTCGCTTGTTTCCCCTTTTTTCGTACGTTTTCTGGATTTCAAGTACCTGCAAGTCTACGACACACCTATCTCAGCCACCCTGGAGTCCGAGAGGGTGTGGCCGATCCCGGCCTTGATACGCTATTAGCAGGAGTGTGCGGGAGCGGTTTTGAGTGTGTGCATGGTCGCTTGCTTCGACGGCGGGGCTTTAGTCTACGAATTGTAGGTGGGGGTGCGGACAAGAGATAGAGCTGGCAGCATGTTGTACGCGAACTTCAGCTGTTGTTCTTCGTTCAGGGGCTTGGGCAATCGGGTCATGTGTATCGAGGGCGGCAGCCGTTAGAGGGTGCTGCCGACGAATTTCCCGAGCACTATAATTCGTCCTAGACTTCAGCTTCACTACAACAAATGTGGTGTTTTGGTTAATCTCCGGTTTATGTTCTCTTTGCAACTGTTTGTTGGGTCTTGGCGCGTGTAAATGCAACAAGAAAAGTGGGTCGACTGTTCGAGTGGCTGAGGGGAGGCATTGAGTCGTAGGTCTTCCCCCCGACACCGAAGAATTTACACACACACAGGGAACCAGGAGCTCTTGTAGAATAATTGTCTTGGTCGACTTTCAAGGAGCTCCAGAACAATTGGACGTTCTCTTGAGATTCTCATGAGGTTTTCATGAGGTTTTCATGAGAAATTCCAGAAACGAGTGATGAGACAAGAATTTACCCCACCGACGGTATATAGCCGTGCCATTAAACACGAGTTGATACGAAAGAATATTCGATAAACGGGGAAGGGATGTATGCTCTTCAACGCCACAACACAGCTCAACGCTTGGCCCAGAACAACAAGTCCGATAAAAAGTCTTGTGCCAGCGACAACGTCAACGAACGCTCCCCCTGGTTGGAAGCATCGCGGAAAAAACACAATACAACAGTGTCTGCCGGGGCCTTGCGAGCGCCACGCACTGCGCAAGAGGCAGCCGTACACAAACAATAACGCCTTGCCGCAAAGTTTCCCGAACCGTTAGCATCGCTCCGGGTCCATCTGGTTCAAGGCACCCGCCGCCTCGTCAAGCGCAAATCGTCTCCTAAACTTATCCTAAACTTGTAGTACCCTCCCCGAGTCAGGCATGACACTTGACGAAACGGTCATCACGTGTAGGGGCAAGGAGTCGGTGTTGAATCAACGGCAACAGCTCAAGCACACTGTCGGACGTACGGCCCGTAAGATCACCATCTCGACACACCTGCAAGCATAGACGTAGCTTTCTCAACAAAGACGTTGTCACCGGTGTGGTCAAACCTCGGACCCGCAAAAAAATGAAAAAAACACGTCACGCCAGCGACAATATCTTCGACCAGACTGCAGGCTTCTCGATTCCCTGCGTTCACATTAACACGACTGCGAGCAGCGATAAAACTACAAGTAGTTGCCGGGAAGGCCTCTTGTAAGTAAACAAGAAAAGAAAACATGAACACCTGCAAGACACACGTTCCAAACAAATGCATGCAGCCGTGCAGCAACCCCGACGAAAAACGACAGCAGTGTAGACTTCTCCTGAACACAGGTAGAGGACAAGTACTCTAGTGAATCTATCTGGAGACAGCAACGAATGACTCAGTCGAGCACACTGCTGTCGCTCTTTTCGCCAACACCCACCGACGGAAACAATACACCACCCCGAGCCGCCACCATCAGGGCCCAGGCGGTCAACACGAATAAAAACAACCAACAAAATGTCTACCGCACCAACGTCATACTCGGCTACACACCACACCCACAAAATCCCTGCAATCGTAGGTGTTCTCTGCTTCGCAGAAAAGGCGCACATATCAACGGAACACGTGGCCGTTCTCCATGGTAAGACCGTCCCGAAGGACCGCCGCATCCCGCAACACCACACCATACCCCCCCCCAAAAAAAAAAAAAAAAAAAAATGCGCCATCGTGAAGCGGCGCCGGCGGCGTAGGCGGCACACCCCCTTCCCCCCCTCGCAGCAGACAGGCATGAAGACAATCAACGGTCGGGAAAACACACACACACACAGACGCACAAATCCCGCCACAAGAGCAGTCACGAGACCCCGCTTCGTCGACACACAGCCGCCACTCCACCCGCGTTGCTGAACTGCTGAACTGCGCCTTCTAGCGCCGTCGTAGGCGGAAGAGGTCGTTCTCGTTCTCACGACAAGAGCCGCATTACCAAGCGGGTCGACGGGTACCCGAGGATCAAAGTCTTCGAACAGCGAAAACAAAACAAAAGAGAGAATGGAAATGACGGTCGGACCTACTAAACACGCATGAGACATGAGGAATATCTCTCAAGCATTCTTGGACAGAGCCTTCCGTCGGTTTCCACGGCGTGCACAAGAGCTGAAAGGGTTTCATCTTGAGGCATACCAGGTACATGATTACTTAGGTCGACACTTGTCGTCATTACCTGGATCAGCCACCGGGGAGCCGTGTCCCCGTGGCCCGCCCTCTTGGCGCGGACGAAGGCGTACCATCCTTCCAGGACGTGCGCCAGGATGGCAAGAACGCAGACTAGGCGGACGATCCACAGCTTTCGGAAAACCGCGAGATGAATGTACAGCGCTGTTGTTTGTTCGGTTTCGCACCACAGCATGCGGCACAGTATGAACGGGGATCGGGGGGCGGGGGCGGGGGCAACGGTTGTATCGATGGCTGCGTTGACTACAGGTGGGACGGGGGTAAGGTCGGAGTTTTTTTCACGTGTACATGTGTGCAGACGCCAGAAGGGGCGGACAACAAGCTTTTCGGTCACGGAGCACATGCACACAACTGAGCTTGCCACGCGAAGAGAGAAACGTGTGTTGCACCATGTATCTACATATCAATTCGACTACACGACAAAAAATCAAATCGCGGTCGATTCGGCCGCACCATCACACGATGTCCCTCTTATCGGGTGTCCCTTTGCGCTCAAACCAAACAACCACAAGCAAAAACTCACACCGCCACAAGAACAAGAACAAGAACAACAACACACGCAACCTCGCACGTCGGCAAGGAACGTTGTAGCACGACACACGGGACAATAGGTATGATGAGGGCTCAGTTTCAGCACAGCCACCCAAACAACACGTAATCCCACCACACCACAATGCGCAACACGCTCTCTCACAGAATCGCTGAACCGGTGCCAAGAAGGCGGGGCACAGTGCCTTGAAGGCAGCCACCGCATTGAGCCAAATGCCGAGGGGGATGCAGATCCAGTAGCCGAGGCCCGGCACGAGGAGGGTGTGCCGCCCCCAGCCGTCTCTCTTGAGGTCCTCCACGATCGTCCTCAGGGCGGTGTTGCGGTCCACCCTGTCATGAGGTTTCACATTTTTTTGCTGGTGGCGAGCATGCTTGAGCGGATTCGCAGGAATGTCGCACAAAGGTGACATCTAGTTCTGGTCCAATCGCGTGCGGTTCAACCGATCCGCTTGTGGGAATATTCCACCAATACAACGCGGGTTTCGCCTCAGATGCTTACTTCTAGGTCTCTCTCGCTCCCTGCTCAGTTGTGTACAGACGGGGTGTGAGGCATTGAAACAGTGCTGTGGGTAAAGGGAGAGGTGAAAGAGGTTGTGGCAATGAGTGAGTAGCGAGGGGGAACTAGAGGAGGAGAAACAGGGGAGGGGAGAAGTAAGAGGACGATGACGACTCTCAAGTTAGTGGGGGGGGCGACAAGGACACTCTCATTTTCCATACCGTGAAAATCAAACCCAGCATCATTACATCACCAGCAACAGGGCCAAACAAAGGACCCTCTAAACTCCTGACTGGACAAAATGTTGCGGGTTTCCCTGTGAAGCGGTTCATCAAACGCTCAGTCCCCACCTAGGCTCATACCCCAGATCCTTCCGGGCTCGTTCGATGTCTGAGCAACGATTCTCGACCAGCTTCCGGACTTCGCTACGCGTTATCGAAGGGGGAGCTTCCGTCAGCTTCATCTGGGCGTGCAGGATGAGAAAAAAAGAGAAATCGAGCCGAGTGGCAGAGGCAGAGACACAGAGGCAGCATGACATCGGCAACGTGACAATATACACAGGGGGGGCGTGCGGAAGGAGGTTGGACTCGTGATGTCGATCACTTTGCTTGGTGGGTGTCGGTGCTACTGCCGTTCCACCAAGCGTTTGGATAACGTCGGTCAGAGTCACCGGCAAAACCAAAACCAAGGTAATTCCGTGTGTATTGTATGTAGTTCGCGTATCCTCGTATCGGAGGTGCCGGGGGCACTATCCGAATGGCATTGACACACAGGAGAAATGCCTCAGGCAAGGGGCTGCTTAGCACGTGCGGCGCGGAGACCAACAAGCCGGCAGACACACACACGGACGTTTGGCGCGATGTGTGTCCGGCTAGCGCGGATGCCGGTTCATTGAACAGGCGCATACCTCGCTCGACGCCTCCAAAACAAGACACACAGTCGGGAACATCACACCGCGTGTGCAATATTCAGTCCAGCTGATGATCTCTCCTTCACTGGGGGGCTAGGCAGTGAATGAACGAGCGGATACATAGCACATATGCTCACGTGAAATGTGTCTGCGTTCACAGCTATGCCAACACACGGCAAGCAACTACTTCCTGTGGAATAGCCTGGCAAACCCATGTCTCCGACTAGATCCGACCCGTCGCTCACCTTGCACACTAGCTCCATCGCCCAAGCGATCGCGAGGGCAAAAAACACCGGCAAACGCAGCACCTTCGATGTCGTGAAGTCTACTTGATTGTTGTAGGGCGTTGCCCGCGGGGGGAGGGGGGGGGGGGGGGGGGGAAAAGCCCAAAAAAATTCCCCCCCCGAACAAAAAGTTAAAACCCCCCCCCCCTTAAAACCCTTAAAATTCCCCCCCGGGGTTCCCAAAAACCGGAAGGGAAAACTAAGGAAAGGGGGGGCCCGGGGGGCTAAGGAAAAAAAAGGGAATTGGCCCGGGGGGGTCCCCCCCCCGC